TAGAATGTTTACGCCGTGTCGGCTTCTTCGAGGGGCGAGCGCGCTCCAGGAGCTGGGCCAACTCTCCGGCGAGCGGGTCAAGAAACGCTGGCCCAGCTTCTCGGGAGGAGGGTTTCTTCATCAAATGGTCGACGGAATCGTTATAGAGGTCCCCAAATTCGGTCCGAGCAGATGGGGTCGGAGGATCGCGCCGCATCGACGATGCGTCGGCGATGCGTCGGCGACGCATCGGCGATGCATCGGCGGCGCCAGCGACGCATCGGCGACGTCGGCGTGGAGAAAATCTGACTCTGCACCGCGTGCGTGTTTGTGCCGTGCTTGCTTCTTCGAGACTGTGTGCCGGGCTTGTTTTCTAGGAGGCCTAGAATTAAACGGCAATGCACCCCTACCGACGCATTTTGCTTGAAAGATCCAAAGTAGTCGAGCATTGCGCAAACATTTACAAAAGTTGTCCAAAACGTTGTTCCCAGATTTTCTGTACACTTCTGAATACACTCTTCCTGTAGAGTCTGTAGAGGGACACGCCCGACATGTTTGCCTTTTCGGTGGCACATGGATGCCGCGAGGCTCCGGCGGACGCGCGCATCGACGATACACATCGACGATGCATCGGCGGTGTGTTTATGCCGTGCTGACTTCCTCGAGGGCGCACGGACGCCGCACGGCTCTGGAGGAGGAGGAGGAGGAGGAGGAGGAGGAGGAGGGGAGGACAAGGAGGAAGGAGGAGGAGGAGGAGGAGGAGGGAGGAGGAGGAGGAGGAGGAGGAGGAGGAGGAGGAGGAGGAGGAGGAGGAGGAGGAGGGAGGAGGAGGAGGAGGAGGAGGAGGAGGAGGAGGAGGAGGAGGAGGAGGAGAGGAGGAGGAGGAGAGGAGGAGGAGGAGGAGGAGGAGGAGGAGGAGGAGGAGGAGGAGGAGGGAGGAGGAGGAGGAGGTGGGGAGGAGGAGGAGAAGGAGGGCGGGAGGAAGAGGAGGAGGAGGAGGAGGAGGAGGAGGAGGAGGAGGAGGAGGAGGAGGATGGAGGAGGATGAGGAGGAGGAGGGGAGGAGGAGGAGGAGAGGAGGAGGAGGAGGAGGAGGAGGAGGAGGAGGAGGAGGAGGAGGAGGAGGAGGAGGAGGAGGAGAGGAGGAGGAGGAGGAGGAGGAGGAGGAGGAGGAGGAGGAGGAGGAGGAGGAGGAGAGGAGGAGGAGGAGGAGGAGGAGGAGGAGGAGGAGGAGGGAGGAGGAGGAGGAGGAGGAGGAGGAGGAGGAGGGAGGAGGAGGAGGAGGAGGAGGAGAGGAGGAGGAGGAGGAGGGAGGAGGAGGGAGGAGGAGGAGGTGAGGAGGAGGAGGAGGAGGAGGAGGGAGGAGGAGGTGGAGGCGCGAGGCGCCCGAGGGCAGGCCCGCGGGAGGAGCGCGGCCCGCCCCACGGTGGCGCCCGTCGCTGGGCGCGGGAGGCCCCCGGAGAGCCACGAACGGCGCGCGCGCGGCGCCCTGCGCGAGCCGCCGGCGAGCGCGCGGCCTCTGCGCGCTCGCCCCCACGGGGGGCCGCTGAGGGCGGGCATAGGACTTCGGGGGGCACAGGTCTCGAGGCTTTCGAGGCTTTCGAGGTTGTCAGAACTTTCGACGGCTTCCAGGTGTTCAGAGTTTTCGGGCTGCTTCGAGGTCCTCGAGGGCTCGGAGGGCTTCGAGGTTCTGAGGTTTTCGAGGCTTTCGAGGTCTTCGAGGTTGTCGGACGATTTCGTTCATGATCGGCGGTTCTCCAGCCTCGGGGTGTCTTCCAGCGGCTGCGCCTCGCCGAGGGCGTTCCGAGGGTCCCTGGACCGTCCCGAAACGCCGCCAGAGGCTCGAGTTATGACCCGGGAACTACCAGAGGACTGGCATTGGGGGGGGACACACCGACCTGGACTCGGCGATGAATCGCCGATACATCGGCGGTAGGGCCCCGATAGTGAATCCGCCCGATCGTAGCCCCTGAGCTTCCCCTGGCTGGATCGCGGCGCTGCCGCCGGCGCACTCGTGCAGTCAAGCTGCTGCAGGGAGACGAGCGCATTCTACCATTCCCGCAGAGCGACTGCTCGCAACTGGCCTGGATCCGCCGCGGGGGATATTTTGGAGTCCCGACACGGTGCGGTGACAGACCGTGCGGTGACCTCGGAATCCCAAGAGACCTCACCGCACGGTCCGTCACCGCACGGACTTGGGACCCAGGAGGCCCCTGTCGCCCGAGACGTCCTCGGAGAACGACGCGGGTCCCAGAACCGTGCGGTGACCCCGAATCCCCACCGACTCACCGCACGGTGTGGTCACCACCCCGTTCGGGGACCCCCGAGAACTACGATCCTCTGCATCGATGCGAACACTCTCGGGGATGGACAGACCCCGCTTTAGTAAAACATGGTTTAGTGAAAACGACCTGAGGCCCAAGCCTGGCGGGCGCAAGCCTGGAAAATAACGGCCACGGCGCCCTCTCGAGAACCGAAAACGGACAATTCACTAATCGACGTGTCACTGTTGGGGGTTCTGTCCACCACCGACGCTCTGCGAGCAGCGGGGCGCGCTCGGTGAGCAATCCGGAACGCTAGATGCGGTGCGGAGCCCCGCGTCGGCACCCGAAGGGCTCGGGTGCACGAGGGCCAGGCGGGCAGCCACGAGCTGGCGCAGGGAGCAGCGAGCCCCTCTCCGAACCCAACGCGGTCCCTCCTCTTCCTCCTCCTCCTCCTCCTCCTCCTCCTCCTCCAGGTCTGAGGAGCGGCCCGCAGACCAGAGCCCCTCCAAAGCCCGAAGTGGTCCTCACTCCAGCGCCCTGGCGGCAGAAGCATGGCAGGTGCGCGAGCTGCCTCGGGAGCGGAAGCGCGGACAGGCGCGGCCCTGCCGAATGGCGCGGTGGGCGGCGCATGGCTGCGAGGGGACCGCTCGTGTGCACACGTTCGCCGCCGTGCCCACTGGCACGCCGAGGCGTGGCAGAATGCGAAGTGCTGTCTGGCAGGGATCCTGTACCATTCTAGGAAGGCCCACCCCCCTCGTCGCAGTCACTGTTTTGTCAGCGGCGCCTTGGGTCCAAGACGCGATCGGCAAACCTGCGGCCGTATCATGTCCTCTTCGCAGACACACGCGCGCGGGCACCACCATCCCTCACGAGGCCACTACCCCTTGTACCGCGCACCGCAGATGGCAATACCGTCCTCGGTGGAGCTCCACATGGGGGCACGAAGCATGAAGGGCGTGCCGGAAACAGGCGCCCCGACCTAGATCTGAGGAACGGCCCGACAACCGGAGGTGCACGATGGCCGGATGGCGCCGCAAAGAGGGGCAACGCCGCCGCGGCCAAAAAGCAACAATGCCTACGACTAGTTCGCGTCGCGATGTCGTGAGCGTTGATTTTAAAGGGGCCCTGGGACACACAAATAAATACACAAATGACAAGATTCCCCATATTTCCCCATATTTCCTGTGCTTTTGTCTTCCCCCCACTTCCCATATTTCCCCAATCAGAGCTTGCCTCTGTAGGGGTCCTAGCGGATTCATATGGTTAGGTTAGGTTTGCCGCCGATTTTCGCTGCACGCCCAGGTGCCCGGGTGCCCGGGGGTGCCTGGGTGCCCGGGTGCCCGGGTGCCCGGGTGCCCGTGTGCCCTTGCGTGCCCGGGGGTGCCCTGGTGCGCGGGGGTGCCCTATAGCGCTATAGCCCTATAGCCCTATAGCCCTGTAGCCCAATAGCCTTATAGCCTTATAGCCCTATAGCCCTACAGCTCTATAGCTGTATAGCCCTATAGCCCTATAGCTCAATAGCCCTATAGCCCTATAGCCGTATAGCTCAATAGCTCTATAGCCCTATACGCCTATACCCTATAGCCCTATAGCCCTGTAGCCATGTAGCTCTATTACCCTATAGCCCAATGGCCCTTTATCCCATATAGCCCTATAGCCCTGCAGTCCTAAAAAGATTCTGATTGGGGCTTTTCTCCGGTATCATTTCCCATATTTTCCTGGGAATCGACGATTCATTGTGTCTGTGTGTTTTCCCCTCCTGACTCTCGACATCTGCCGATTCTGGGCGGCGTTCAACCCTGAACACCCACGCTGGGGTTGCGGGACCAGCTCTTCATCCTGAGCCGCTTCTTCACGGCTCCGAGGCCCGGCAGAGGCCCCCAATGACAGCGGCAAGCCGTGCGTCGTGATTCTTGTCATTACTCGAGGGGGTCTGTGGATGGTTAGTGGGGGCGAGAGCAGCTTCAGGTTTCCGTCAACGTCGTCGTGTTCGTCGTCGTCGTCGTTGTGGTGCGCTTCCCAGCCTCGGCCGGCCTGTGCGCCCCTGCACACGCGGCCCCACGAGCTGCTGCAGCACGAGGAGGTTCAGAGGAAAGACCACCCCGACCCCGACCACCAGCATTTGCTGAACGGCCCTGGGCGTTTTACAAAAAGAGGCCCTGCCTGGCTCGATTCCCTCGTTGGGTGCGTCTACTACATGGCGTCTCGTGTCGGGGTGCATATAGTATGAGGGTGGATGCTGTCTGCTCCCTAAAGGTGAGGCAGACCGACGGCTTGGAGAGGCTGGAGGAGGAGTGCAAGGCGCGCCTCCCTGCACCAGAATCGAGAATCGAGGCGTCGAGCATCGAGGATCGAGGGAGGAGACCGAGGAGGTCTGGGGGTGGGCCCCCAGCTGGGCCCCCGAAATGAGCACCCGAATGCCACGCACTCTCAGGGCCCCAGAAGGGGGCGCCCTTCCTCCTGCAACCCTCGACCCCTCACCCCACCCCACCCAGGAGGAGGGGGAGGAGGAGGAGGAGGAGGAGGAGGAGGAGGAGGAGGAGGAGGAGGAGGAGGAGGAGGAGGAGGAGGAGGAGGAGGAGGAGGAGCAGGAGAGGACAGGGGGAGGAGGAGGACGAAGAGGGGGAGGAGGAGGAGGAGGAGGAGGAGGAGGAGGAGGAGGAGGAGGAGGAGGAGGAGGAGGAGCGAGGCACAGGGGAGCCGGAGGCCTCGTGCGGCGCCCCGGCGCGCTGGAGGGCGCAGGGCGGCGAGCGGGGGCCTGGCCCTCGCAGCTCGCCAGCTCGTAGCCGACCTGCACCTCGCTGCCAGCCTTGGGCGGCCTGCCCCACCCTGGGGGTTCTCTCCCTCGAGGGCGGCGCCCAGGCGCTGTGCGTGAGGGTAGGCGACAGGGGTGCGAGAACGCATAGGCACGCACACAGCACAGCACAGCACAGCACAGCACAGCACAGCACAGCACAGCGCAGCGCAGCACAGCACCGAACACACGCACACACAAGCACACACACAAGCACACACACAGCACACACACACACACACACACACGCGCGCGCACGCGCGCACGCATGCACGCACGCACGCACGCACGCACGCATGCACGCGCACGCGCACGCGCACGCGCACGCGCACGCGCACGCCCACGCCCACGCCCACGCCCACGCACCCACGCACGCACCCACGCATGCGCACAAAAACACATGCACACATCCAGACACAGACACACGCACACACATACACACAAGCAATCTAACACATAGAAGTATACGTACACACACTCATTCATATATAAATATATATGTACACATGTATAGATAGATATGCAAACGAATTGCGACCACGGAAGACGACGATGCTGCCTGAACGCGCGGGGACGCGGTGGCACAAACCAAACAAAATAACAAGCACCTCGGCATATAAAAAGGCGCCAGGGACGGCCGGAGGGTGCTCAGAGACTACCGAACAGGGCCGCGAGGATCCTCCAAGACTTCCCTACAGGAGCCCAAGACAGCCCAAGGGTGTCCCAAGTAAGCCACATGAGAGTCCCCCAAGAAGTCTGAACGAGAGGTGCCACATGTCGCGGCCTTCTTGGCGGTACTCGAAGGGTCGCCGCACAAAGCGCTTCGCTGGCACGGTGGCGAGTTTGCTGCAGGCCCTGCGAAGCAGGAGGTTGACACACGACTGGAGGGTTGAGACTACCATGCAGTCGTCGTGATGCCAGAAGGAGCACTGGATAACGAACGGTTTCCATGACCTAGACCAAAGAAACGGCCTGAAATCAGAGCTCAGCTGAGCCCCAGGTGGTCATGCTTCCAACGCCTTAGTGGGTCGCAAAGGCTGGACTACATTTAAGTCGGGCCTGTCCCCCTACAAGGGGATTTTGGATGAAACATAAAAAATACTCAAACATACCCTCCAAATACTCCGAACTACTGAAAAAATAGTCCCCTGACTTTTTTTGGTATGGTTGAGCAATCCCCCGTGTAGAGGGACAGGCCCGACTTACAACGACATCCACGAACATCATACGTCGTCTCGGCTGCGTCGACACACGCCACGGCCGGTGACTCTGACAGGGAGACGCGTCGGCACCGTGGTTAGACGCTTCAAGACCACCCAGGGGCATGCAGGGATCACACAGCAAGAAACCAATGCGTGATTGCTTGAATAGATCCTCCTCCTCCTCCTCGTCCTCCTCCTTCCTAGATCTCCTCCTCCTCCTCCTCCCCTCTCTCCTCTCTCCTCCTCCTCCTCCTCCCCCTCTCTCTCTCTCTCTCTCTCCTCCCTCCTCCTCCTCCTCCTCCTCCTCCGCTCTTCCTCCTCCTCCTCCTCCTCCATCCTCTCCTCCTCCTTCTCCTCTCCTCCTCCTCCTCCCTCCTCCCCCTCCTCCTCCTCCTCCTCCTCCTCCTCCTCCTCCTCCTCCTAAAAAGAAACGGAGCGCGACATTCAAGCTCGAGTGGGCGGCTGCATCTGCAGCGCGAATCAATCACAACGACATGTGCGGCGAAGGACCTGCGATGATGCCAAGCAGCAAACTATGACTCGAACCAGGCAGGTCCTTATACAGCCCACTAAGCTGGCACCCATGGCCACGCCTGGCGTACTCCTCGCCGTCGTCCACAACAGTTTGAATGACACCGCCATCGCCGAACACATCGGTGATACTTGTAACTCCCACAAGCTCGATCTCGTAGACGACTGAGTCGCAGTCGTCTGCGCCAGTGTTAGAAAGACGATGAGAAGACTGCAGGGCGGACAAGACGAGCAAACACGACATAGTTAAACAGCATGGATAGGCACCGTGGAGGCTTAGGGCAAATGTTGAATAACCCTCATCTTTAAAACACCTGGCGCCAACTCGAGCTCCCATAAGCAGAGCCCCGTCTGCGACCAGGTCTCTGCACGTGGCATGAGAATCTGCAGCATGGGGAGAGGACATATGATAACAAATGCGATCAGGAGCAGCACTAATAGTACGCAAAATGAGCGCCAAAATCTGAGTGCGTTGAGAGAGGACGCGCAAGTAGTAACCACATTCGTGCCTTCAGGACGTTTTGGAGTCAACCACGGCTCATCAGTCAGATGTCAGTGTTCAAGGGATCCCGTTCAAGAGACTTGAGGGCCCCGACCCAAAATCTTCCCGAGCGATCTTCGAAATTCCCGCGGTGTGTCGCGTGAGCTCTTGACGCTGAGCCAGCCCCAAACGACCCCCAGACCCCCAAGATGGCCCCTGGAGGTCCCACGGACGGTCGATGGGCGCTCCGAGACGGTCCAAGGGCTCCCCAAGACGCCAAAGGTAGCATCAAGACGGCCCAGGAGGCCGCCAAGATGCCTAAGGAGATCCCCCGAGAGGCCCCCAAGAGGCAAACATCATTGATTTTCCATCGGTTTTTGAAAGATGTTAGCGTTCTCGCCGCTCTGGGCTTCCGACGCTCTGAGATGGCCCCCGATCGGGCCCCTGAGAGCCCCCAAAAGGGCCCAAGAGGGGAAACACGAACTGACATTGAGAGCCCTCTACACCAAGACCACCCTCGAAACCGCCAGCAGGTCCCCAAGAGGCCCCGAAGAGACCGGAGCCCCAAGCGGCCCCACAACACCCCAGAACTGCCTCAAGAAGGCTTCCGAGAAGCCTCTCAAGATGTTCCCACAGGCATTCAGGGGGCCTCTGACCTACAGACCCGGCACGGTGGCCCATCCTCCTTCCCTTCCCCCTCTCCGTCGCCGTCCCCCTCCCCATCATCGCGCCCGTCCCACGTCCCCGTCGAACTCTCCCTCATCCCTTCCCGGGCAAAGGATCTGGGCTGGCGCCAAAACTTCAGCACACACACAAACACACACACACACACTTCGTCCTTCCTCCTTCCCACCCTCTCCTGTCCTCCTCCTCTCACGCACACTCGTCGTCCTCGTCCTCCTCCTCCTCCTCCTCATCCTCCTCCTCCTCCTCCTCCTCCTCCTCTCCTCCTCCTCCTCCTCCTCCTTCCGCGTCGCAGACGGCCGAGAAACGCATCTGCACCGGCGTCCAGTGGCCCCCGAACCCAGGGCCCCGCAGGGATGTCGAGCCTGCAGCTGCGTTGCGCGCAAGGCGCGGCATATGGTGCCAGGAAGCGCCCAACACCTCGCACAGCGAGACAGCGGCTTGGCGGGCGATGGCGGGCGCGTGCAGGTCAACCTGCAGTCCAGACGCACACACACAAGCACGTTTTGTGTGGGGGGGGGGGGGGGGCGTCGCGGCCCTGCGCGAGGCCACTGGGCGTAAAGGTCCACAAGCAGCAACCACGCGCGCGCGCGTCTAAGCCCGCCCGATGACCCAGAAACTACTTAGGGCCCTGCAACCGCTGGCAGCCATAACCATCCAGACACACACACAGACACACACACACACACACACACACACACACACACACGCACGCACGCGCACGCACGCACGCACGCACGCACGCACGCACGCACGCACGCACGCACGCACGCACGCACGCACGCACGCACGCACGCACGCACGCACGCACGCACGGGGACTCACACACAGTTGTTTGGCGGTAGCGGCATCACGAGCAGTGACGAGACGGAGAAAGCGTAAGCAGTGCGCGCGGCGGCCGAGCCCTCAAGCATTGCTTGTGATGCAAACCTGCCCGCATCAGCCATCCGGGCATGGATGGCGGGGAGGGTGCACGCAGAGCCGTGGGAAAAAACTCAGCACAGCTGCGGAAGACACAGAGAACGCCCTAAGCCATCCCGGCATGGACAGCAAGGAGGGTGCACGCACAACCGTTGGGCTGCCCGCGCGGCGACGTAACAGCCGGAGCACGAGCGACGACCAAACGACCGTGGACGCAGGAGGAGCGGGCCAGGGGAGAACCCCGAGGCGAGCACGAGCACAAAAGAACAAGCAAGGCGGCAAGGCAAGGTGCCGTGCTCGCCAATGGCGTAGCAAGGAACAGAGAACACGCAAGGCGGCAAGGCAAGGTGCCGTGATCGCCAATGGCGTAGCAAGGAAGGCACAGCACAGATGCCAAAACTGGCGAGGGCCTGGCGCCAGAAGAGCAGCACAGCTGGGCCTGGCGCCAAAGCTGCCGCCCCCGCCCCCCGGCCAAGCGGGAGGCGGGCCGCTTCCGCGAGGAGGCAGCCCCGCCGCCAGCCACAGAAGAACCGGCGCGGGAGGGAGCATGCCGAGGATGCCATTAGGCATGCATTCGGCGCCAGGAGCGACGGCGGAGAAATCGGCGGGTGTAGCATGCTCGCTGCTGGGGTGAATGCGGCCTTTGGCCAGCCAGGATCTCCACTTCAAGGTCAAGGTCAAGGTCAAGCCTGTATGCCCACGATGGGGCGGCCGCTTAGGGCACAGGCGGGTGAAAACTAGAAGACGCTCCGGTGGTCCAAGAAAATCTCCTGTCACACAATTCCAAGGATGTGGGCCTGTGGCTGCAACTCTCCCGTCGCCGATCCCGTACTTGTCGCAGAAACACTGGGCATCAGACTCCCACGTAAAACGATGCGAAGATCGGGACAAAATCGGATCGGGATAACTCGAAATCTCTGAGAATCGGCGGGTTTGGAGGATGTATTGGGCACCGCGGCCGCTCCAGAGCGTTCCAGAACGCTCTGAGAGCGCTCCGGAACGCTCTGGAGCGATTTATCCCGATCCTAACCCTGTTTTACCACGCCCCAGGAAGTCCCAGGACCTCCACCTCGTACGGACGACAGGAGCACCTTTGCTGCTCCCCCCTCGAGCCACGACCTGCGCGGCTAGGCGGCGCGGAGCTGGGCAGGGCTCGGAGGGGCCGGCCAGCGAGCTCGGCCGGGGCGCGCCTCCAGGGAGGAGGAGGAGGAGGGAGGAGGAGGAGGAGGAGGAGGAGGAGGAGGAGGAGGCAGAGGAGGAGTAGGAGGAGTAGGAGGAGGAGGAGGAGGAGGAGGAGGAGGAGGAGGAGGAAGAGGACGATGGCATGTCGGCGAGGCGCGACCCCGCCGCTGGGCCGGCAGTCGGAGGGGCAAGGGCTGGTGGTGGCGGCGCGAGAGAAGCACCATGCAGCGGCAGCGCGCGGGACGTTACCCCGCGGCTGCTTGCAGGCCACGCGCTGATGACCGCGGGCCTGCGGTCGGCGGCGGAGTCGTGTCCGTAGGGCTGTCCACCGGGATGGTAAGTATCGACAACCTGCCGAGGAGGAAGACAGCGCGGACGTGGGCCTAGCGCCGCGCGCGCCGGCCCCGCCCGCTAGTGGGGCGAGAGGCGGGCGGCAGGCGGGGAGAAGCAGCCTCCTCGGCGGGACCAGTGGAGCTGGCACCGCCGGGAGGGGCGTTGGGTCGGGCGTACGTAGTGGAGGCCGCTGAGAAGGGCAGCCAGAGGGAGCAGAGGGAGGCCGTCGGGCAGGGCGTCGGGGTGGGCGTCGTCGGGTGGGGTGACAGACGAAGCATTACTGCCCGAGGAGGCATGCAGCGACAACGTGAAAGGTGCTGGGGATCGTTGGGACTGCCGCACAAGACGGACACCGTGCCGGAGTCGGGGGGCCCTCTCTCGACGCGAGCCGTGGGGCCCCAAGCGCCGACGCGAACTGTGGGAGCCTCTCTACGCGGCGAGTCAACAAAGAGAGCATCAATGCAGGAATGCCTGTGGCCACCCTCAGCCTCGCACGGAGGAGGCAAGGGAGCTGCGCCGAGCGTGGGAGCGCCGCCCCCACCGAGACGCAGACTGCCCGCGGGCGGCCTGCCCGCAGCGGGGAATCGGTGGGCATGGCCCGCTGCTGCGGGCGGAGTGCCCAGCCCGCAGGAAGGAGTGGCACGGGGAGAGGCGTCGGCCTTGCATAGAGGGCAGAAAGTCTACCCCCAGAACAATCACCCCGACACGCGAAGCCGTTCAGCAAACGCGCCCGCAGCAGGAATCGAACAGGGCAGGGCTGACTAGTAAACGCTAGGGCCGTCCAGCAAACGCCAATTACTGGGTCCGGGTGTTTTTTCCTCCCTTCATTGCAACCGCCGGACGCGTCGGTGTTGCAGAGGGCGGAGGAGGGCGCCGACAAGGCTGCAGCCGCCGTAGATCCGAGCTCTGCTGCCGAGGATGCGGCCCCTTCAGCGGTCTCGGCAGCGCTGGCGAAGATGGGGGACGCTCGTGATCGAGGCAGTGCTGACGAGGATGCTGGCACCGAGGCTCTCAACTGCGCTGGCGAGAATGCCCTCCAGGCCGCCACCGGCGCCCCCGTCGGCTTCAGGTTCTCCGCTCCACGGCCTGGGCAACACTCGTTCCCTCCAGATACATTTGCCAGACCCCCGTTCGCTTCAGAGTACCTCCCCAGCCTCCCCCTTAGACTGTTCAAGGCCGAGGACGCGAACCCGTAGAGCTCTACCGCCTTGCTGCTTCGCAGCTCTCAGCCGCAGCCAGACGTCGCCGCCTTCGCAGCGGCAGCACCAGCGTCCTTCGCCTGCGCTAGCGTCGGTGCTCCTGGCTGCGCTGGCGAAGATGCTGGCGGAGGTACTGACGAAGATGCTGGCGAGGATGTAAGCGTCAGTGCTCTGGACTGTGCTGACCAGGATGCTGTCTTCGGAGCTCTCGGCATTGCTGGCCAGGGTGCTGGCGAGAGTGCAGGCGTCGTTGACCCAGCCTGTGCTGGCGAAAATGCAATCTCTGGAGCTCTCGACTGCGCTGGAGGGGATGATGGCGCCCGTGGCCCAGGCAGTGTTGCCGAGGCCGCTGACGTCGATGCTCTCGACTGCGCTGGCGA